TTAACGCTATTCACAATGCAAAAATTTTAAAACTTAAACAGCGTTTAATTTTAAACAAATTCAAAATGCTCAATTACAGTATACAAAAAACCAAAAATATCCCTCATCATTATTTTTCTAAAACTTATCTCAACTTCAATAAACAACTTAGTGCACTAACTTATCAAATTGAAAGTTATTCAACGTATTTAAGCTCACAAATGACAATTTGTTTTGCTAGCCAAATTTTTAAAATGTGTTATGAAGTGTTTGTACTCATGAAACTAGGAAGTAAAATGAATTTTACGCAAATATTCTTTTTTTGTTTATTTCCTACATATTTTTCTATTGTTATGTTATGGTTTACGTATCAGTGCACTGTTATTGATCGACAAAATAAGGCAATTTCCGATCAATGTCTGTTGTTTTACAACCACATTCAACAAGTAAAAAGTTTTCCGGTCATGTGGAAACTCAAAGCACAACTGTTTGCACGTCATAATCGTCTTGAGTGCTATGTCATGAAACTGTTTGCTGGTTACCGAATTAACTCCAATACTGTTTTAGAAGTAAGCTTTAATTAATAATTTTTCTGTTTGTTTATTAATTTATTATTTAGCTCATTGGATATGTGACTGTCTTTTTCTTAATGACTGTTGAGCGTTATCGCGATATGTGAAAAATAATGTTTATTTAAATTTAAAAATATTGTTTGTGTCAATTTTTATATTACTGTATAAATGTGCTGTTTACTCATTTTACAAATATTTTGAAGCATTTTTACACTTGTAGTATTATGCTTTGTAAGTGCACTACAAAAATATAAAATATGGGTTTGCTGAATCTATACACAATTTTTAAAGATTTTTGTTCAATTTTTAACTGACATTTTTGTATGTGGTTATCATTAAAATAAAAAATGACAAGGGCGTGAGTGTCGCTTCGCGACACGTACTTTCTAGTTTTTCCAAATTTTTAAGCATTGACTGGTGTCATTTGGTTGATCGGCATCGTCCGACGGCTTGGGACACAACTCGCAAGCTCGTTGTGCCCCAAGCCGTCGGTGCCGATCAACCAAATGACACCAGCCTTCAACATTTGGGGTTTACTTGATTGGTTTATTTGTGAAATATTTGTAAAAAGTTCTGTTCAGTATCATTTTTAAAAAAATCTATCAAAAAATACTTTTAGTTGTCCAGTCAACTCAAACTTAACACCAATAGATAAATGCTAGTTAGCGTTGCATTTATATAAAACTTCGGCTTGATATCATAAAATATGTAATTTCTAGAATCATGAATGCAAACGCAAAAAATCATATAGAACTTAAATAGGGATTTGCACAAAAATTTTAAAAGGTTCTAATAATTACTTTTGTTGCTCGAATCAACCTAAGTTTAAAACCGATTGATGGATGACATTTAGAATTGCTTTTAAGTAAAACAGTGTTTAGATATCATGAAAAATGTAATTTATAGAATCATAAAAGTATATGCAGAAAATCATATGGAATTAATATAAGAATTTTTATGAAATTTTTAACTGGTCAAAATAATTACTTGCGTTAATCAAATTTACTCCAACTTAATACCATTAGATAGGCACTACTTTGCATTGTTTTCAGGTAAAACTGAGCTTTTAAATCTTGAACGATGTAATTTATAGAGTAATAAATGTAAACACAACAAATCATATGGAATTAATATATGAAATTTTTAACTGGCCGTAATAATTACTCTGAAAGGTTGAATCCTGTTGAATTTAACGCCAGTAAATAGACATCCGTAAGCTTAGTATTCAGGTAAAAACCGCAACTCGATAACTTTCACGGTGTATTTTTTAAAGTCAAAACAAATCGTATAGAACTTATTCGGAAAGTTCGAATTTATGATCTTAAAAATGCACCCGGTGTTCGAATCACCCCAAGTTTGGCACCATTTGAAAGATGCCATTTAACTTGTTTATTGTGTAAAAACCGTTTCTCGATATCTTGAACGATGTAATTTATAGAAACAAAAAAGTGCGTGCAGAGAGAGAAACATAATTTTTTTAGTGAAGTTAGATAGATTGCAACAATGTCAGTGTCAAATTAAGATATCTACTTGAGAGGTTTCTTAATTTCAAAGTAAACCAAAAATATTGCAGCCCACAATGCTCAATTAAACGTTTAAAAACAAAGTCGCACAAATAGTAGTAAATTGGGTGAAATAAAGGACACAGGAAAATATAAGTTACTCATCTGCTGCAATGTAATTTTTCTAAATTGTATATAAAGTAACGTTTCTTATAAGCACTAAACACAAAGTTGGTTTTTACTAACAAGTCAATCAAGATGAAGTTTTCAATTGTCATTGCTATTGCCTGTTTGGTTGGTTTCGCTGCTGGTGAGTGAGCATTTTGATTAAACGTTAAACTAAATATTTTACTTTCATATTAGCCCAAGCAACACCTGGCCATGAAGGTCGCCAGTTAGCTGAGGCTCTTTCCAAGCGAGCTGAGGCACTAATTACTAGCACAAAGGCAGTTCTGGCCGAGTTGTACAAGCAAGGCAAGGGCCACCTGGCCAGTTCAATTGAGCATCAGATTGTGCTGGTAGAAGCACTTGCATTAGACCTGAAGGCCTCACTAGCAAACGCGACCAAAGAGCATAGTGTACATCATGTTCATGTAATTGAGGAAGATTTAAACAAGTTTCAGTTATAAGAAGATTTAATAATCAAAAAAGACAATGTGTGAAAATAAAAACTTTGAAGAAAGAAAACATTAATCAACTGTCGGCAGTCAACAGCTCACTCGTTTACTCGTCATCGCTCAGCTCCACTCCGTACTTCAATTTGACCTAGTAAAAACAGTATTAGTTTTACATTTGTTAACAACATTACTAAACAGTTTTACCTCTTTAAATGACTTTTCAGTTTCAGCTCGGACGCGGATGATGTACTTTTCAATGTCTGTTTTGTATTGTCTTTTTTCAGTTATGATTTCTTCTTCAAGCTGCTTTTGCTGCTCTTCTTGGAACTTTTTCACCTTTTCAGTAGCAGAACCATTCACGCTGGCCAGCTCTCGCTGGAGTGCAGATTTCCGCTTTTCGGTGTCCACCATTGAAATGTTTTCAGCTTGTTCACCGCTGCAAATAGTTTGTAATCCGTCAACAAAGAGAAAGTAAAGAGGGTCGAAGTTGCTGTCAATGTCTTCACTTTCAAAAGCTTCTTTTTCCAGTTTCTTTTTGCTGAGGTGCAAGTTAATATGCCTGAGTGTGTTGCCTTTCTTGTTGAAAACTCTGCCACACAGTGGAAAATTGCATTCAAATCGTTTTACACCAGAGTGGATGAGACTGTGCTGAGTTAAAGCGCTTCTTAGTTTGAATTTCTGTTGACAATCTTCCTCCGGACATATAAACGCTCTTACGCCAGTGTGGACAAGTTTGTGTTCCGCCAAATTACCTGCTGACTTGAATGCCTTTTTACAACCCGTTTCCAAACAGATGAACGGTCTGGCGTCAGAATGGACTTTTAAATGAGTTATTAATTCACCATTAGATTTAAAAGCCATTTTGCAGTTTTCTTTTGAGCAGACAAAAGGCTTTGCGTTTGAATGGACTCGAGCGTGGATTTTTAAATCGTTTTTGGTTTTGGAGGTTTTCTTGCAGCCGTTTACTGGACAAATAAAAGACCTGACATCAGAGTGGACAAGATAATGTCTTATTAGATTCGCTTTTTGAGTGAAAGCCCTTCCACAACCGTCTTCTTCGCAGACAAAATGCTTTGTATTTGTTTCAGAATGGACGATAGAATGCCGTTTCAAATTATTTTTCTGCGTAAACGCCTTTCCACACCCTTCCTCTTCACAAATGAATGGTCTAGAATGAATGACTGAATCTTTAGCTTTGCAAGTTTGCTTCTTTGGTTTTGCAGATCGATTAGAATCGTCCGATTCAACCGTTTCCTCTTTTTCATGCTGAAATTTTAAAACTTTAGCTTGTCGAGGGCGCAAACTAGGCTGCTTAGCATCAATTTTAGGAATCACCAGAGTGTGAGTTTGCTTTTGGACTTTAGCTTTGTCGCTGGTTGCTTCAGCTGAAACTGCAGGCTCGGTTACAGTTTTATCATCAGTTGCTTGTTTTTGCTTTCTGGTCTTTCTCTTTGGTTCAGCATTGACATCCGTATTTGGCTGCTCGGCGGCAAAAGCTTTGTTTACTTTCAAAGCAGTGGCACCTTCAGCTTCAGATTTACTCGATGCACCTGTAGCTTTTCGTTTTTTTCCGGCCATTATTGCTGTGAAGATGCTGTAGATTTAAAGAATGTTTGTGTAAGTTTTGGAAAGAATCATTTAAAAAACAGAATCTTACGGCAGAAAGAAGGTGAACAAAAAGAAAGGTGAAAGAATCGCAAAAGCACAGATGGAAACGTTTTGCTGTCGTACTGAAAACAATCGGCATAGAACCGTCAGTAGATGACATGTCATCTAAAGAAAAGCACGCTGGCAATGCTCACACAAAACAATTATCTATCAAATAGAAGTATCAAAAAGGTAACCAAACATAAAATGACATTTAAACTTTTTTTGAAAAAATTTATTGTGGATTAATTTGTTAAATTGTAAGCAGAATTTAGATGAAAATTTAAAATCTTTCAGTGGTTTGAAGAGCAAACAATCAAAACGGTGCTGCAGTACTCTGAGTACTCTTGATCTTTACGTTCGCCATTGTGGATGTCTTGAAACGAGAAAACTTTGATGGAAAATGAAGTGAGATGGAAAGCAATTTTAGAGTCAAGAGAAAAGTGATGATACACGCTACTCATCGCCAACGTGTTTTTTTTGGATGAAATGACATGTCATTTACTGACAGTTCTTTGACGGTTGTTTTCAGTTCAACAGCAAAACGTTTCCATTTGTGCTTTTGCGATTCTTTCACCTTTCTTTTTGTTCACCTTCTTTCTGCCGTAAGATTCTGTTTTTTAAATGATTCTTTCAAAAACTTACACAAACATTTTTAAAATCAACAGCATTTTTCAACTAGAATGGCCGGAAAAAAACGAAAAACTACAGGTGCATTGAGTAAATCTGAAACTGAAAGTGCCACTGCTCCAAAAGTAAACAAAGTTCGTAAAGCTAAAAATCCAGTTATTTATTCTGGACCATTCATTTGTGAAGAAAATGGGTGTGGAAAGGCGTTTAACCGAACTAATGTTTTAGAAACTCATTCCCTCATCCACAATATTGTGAATCGTTTTGAGTGCAATTTTCCACTTTGCGGCAAGGTTTTCAACAATCGAGGCAACACTCTTGCTCACATCAAATCACATCTGGATACAAAGAAGCTGGAAAGCAAACACTTTAAAAATAATGCCATCGACAACAACTACGACCCTCTTTACTTTTTACTTGTAGATGGCTTACAGGCTAAAATTGATTGCGAGCTGAGCGAAAATAGGGAGACTGTCATTGCGAACCCCAGTGAGCAAAAGAAATTGTTCCAAGAATTGGCCCATCTGCGGAAAACTGCCAGCAGTAAAGTAAAACGATTCCAAAAAGAGCGACTGGAACAGATGGAAGAAAAAATTAACTGCAAAAAAGAACTATGCAAATCAAAAACTGAAAAGTACAAAGCCCGCGTCCGAGTTGAGGCTGAAAAGTCAATTGAAGAGGTAAAACTTTTTAGTAATGTGGTTAACAAATGTAAAACTAATATTGTTTTTACTAGTTCAAATTGAAGTACGGAATGGAGCTGAGCGACGATGAGTAGACAAGTGAGCCGTTGACTGCCAACAAATGATTGATTTTTCCCTTTTTTAAATTTCATTCATTGTATTATTAAATTTTTTGTTTTTTAAATTTTCTCAAATCAATGTTTTCAATTACTTTATAACTTTTCAACTAGATTTGGTTTAAATTGCTTGGTTTATAAAATCTAGTCACACATTGAGTTGCACATTGAGAACAGAATAATTGAGGAACTTGCAATGATCGAGGACACACTGAACTACGGTCACCTGAACCAGCCAGCTGACAAACTGACAATCTTTTTGCTAAATCTCAAAAATAGAGTATCTGAAGAACTGATTGCAATTCAAATGGCCATTTATCACCGACATGAGGGCAGTTCAGTTGAGTCGCTGATCAAGAAAGCAGAGGGCTTGATCCATAGCTATTTTTTGAAAATCGCATTTCTGAAGAATTATACATCATCACCCATCTCGGTGACGGTCACCACGAGGAGCACAAGAGCGGAACTGACACGATGGCCCAGAAACTGGTTGCCCACGCCATTTCGGTCATTCACCAGGCAGAAGAGGCGGTTATGCAGGATAAACACATTCGAATGCAAGATGCTGCAGCCATTAACCATGAGATTGGCGAAATCAGAAAGTTGATTAAGGTCATTGAGGGGCATCCCAGTGCCGCTGAGCTGAAGGCAGAGGCGACGCATCTGGCAAAGCACGAGGAATCACTGAAAACGCTGGTTGAACGTGCCAGACATCCTCATCACAG